TGAGTCCAGTAATGCCTGATAGGCGGACTTCTTGGAAAGCCACTGTTTCTGACGCCTGTAGATAAGGAGTATGCAGATGCTTGATAATTATTTGTGATTGCCAGTATCCAACAGACTATATTATCATGTGGAAGTCATTAAAATTCACTATGATATTCAGGGAATTTCAGGGCACAAACAGCATTAGTACTATAATAAAGTGCTAATCAAAACTTTATTAGAGTGTTAATGAGTATTAGTAAGAACACTAATAAAATTGATTAATATAATGCTGCTCAAAGGATGACATCTTGTCTCCTTTCTTGAGATGGTGGGATAATTTTCATAGATGACATTTGTGAGCTTGTTAATTTCCCTCCCTCTTTCCATAAAATGGACTTTAATAGTAACTAAATAATTTCTAGTGGAAATTCAATAGAATCTAGTCGTTTAACAAGGTTACCAGGCATTCACTGTAGACTTCCCTCTAGATACCTGTTCAGAATTAAAATAATACGCTTTTCTTCCTATTGAACAGAGAGTGAATACGTTAGAAAGCTATACTGTATAATACAATTTTTGATAATTTCAGTTTCAAGATCACATAAAGACTTTTTTTTAAAATGAAGATTCAGCCGGGCGTGGTGACTCATGCCTATAATCCCAGTACTTTGGGAGGCTGAGGTGGGTGGATCATCTGAGGTCAGGAGTTCAAGACCAGCCTGACCAACATGGTGAAACCCCCTCTCTCCTAAAAATACAAAAAATTAGCCAGGCGTGGTGGCGCATGCCTGTAATCCCAGCTACTCGGGAGGCTGAGGCAGGAGAATCACTTGAACCCAGGTGGTGGAGGTTGCAGTGGGCAGTGATTGTGCCACTGCACTCCAGCCTGGGCAACAAGAGTGAAACTCCGTCTCAAAGAAAAAAAAAAAGATTGCCTGTTTCTCCAGAGCTACAAAAAATATGCCTTTAAAATCTTCATTTTATTTTATTTATTTATTTTTTGAGGTATGCGCCACCATGTCTGGCTAATTTTGTATTTTTAGTAGAGACGGGGTTTCTCCATGTTAGTCAGGCTGGTCTCGAACTCCCGACCTCAGGTGATCTGCCTGCCTTGGCCTCCCAAAGTGCTGGGATTACAGGTGTGAGCCACCTCGCCCGACCAGGCAATCTTATATAATGGTGGTAGGAGTACAAATGGTATAATTCCTACGGAGGGAAATTTGGCAATACTTAACACATTTCAAATGCCTTTACTCTTTGACCCAGTAATCCTACTCCTAGAAATGTATCCTATAAATACACATGCATGCGTAGAAAATGACCTATGTATAGTTCTTCATTGTGGTAGTGCTAATTTAGCAAAAGATTAAAAGCAACCCAAGGGTCTAGCAATAAGAGACAGACTGAATACATTATATTAATAGTATATCTACTCCATGGAATATTATGCAGCTGTAAAAAGGGGAAGCAATCTCCATGCACTCATATGAATTCCTCCTCAGAACAAACTATAAAACAGGAAAAAAAAAAACCTATTTGGTATAAGAAAGGGGTGATAACAAAAGAGAAAGGGACTAATATAAAAATACATGTATTTACAAAAAGAAATACTAGAAGGATAAATAAGAAATGATGAAATTTGGTTATTTGGGACAAGATGAGGAATGGGTAGAATGGGACAGGAGTGAAAGTAACATTTTTCAATGTATACCTCTTCATATTATTTTTGAACCATGTAAAAGTGTATCTATTCAAAGCATCAAAATTTAAAAACTAGTTTAAAAATATTTTGGCTTTTAAAATAAAATAGCTGTTTACTGAAAAATTTAAATACTTCAGGAGTAAATGTATAAAGTTAAAGTGACTCTCCTGTCTGGCGATTTCCTTAATTATTAAATTATCCTTTCCTTGGAAAGTCTATCAGTTCTCAAAAATTTAATAAGTATCAATTTTGAAATTACTGTCAAGAAATGTTTTGATCTAGTTACTATATTTACCTTCCTTACCTGTAAAATGCGATCTTGTTGCAGTCTCTGAAAATGTTTTTATCCACAGCTTCATCTTCAACGCTAAATAAAAAGACATTTTGAGAAATTTATTTTACACAGGGCTTGTGAGTCCAATTTTTATACCTTCTCTAACTACAGTATGAACATGCAAAATAAACCTTTGGAGTCTATTCTGCAATGCAAAATTGTGTCACGGCCATAGTATAACATAATAGCACATTATGCTGCAGAACAATAGCCTTTTGTAAATGCTCTGAGGTAAACAACAAAAGATCAGGTTCTGGGATTACTCCGAAAGTAATGGGAAAAGATCACTGTCACTTAAGAGGACATATTCTTTGGAAATAATGACTGAAGGTTATGACTGCAAAAGTAAAATCTGAAAGAGCAAAACCAAAACAGCATCCCAAAACGAACAAACCAAAACCAACAAACCAGACAAACTAACAACCATAACCCACCCACAGATTTATTCAACAAAATATTTTCAGAACATTCTTCCTGGGTGCTGGGCTCTGAGGAAGATATGGACTGTGTTCAAGCTGTCAGTAAGGGTTTTACCAACAATCACAATACAAGCTGACAAATGCTTTAATAGAGGTGCAAGGTGCTAGAATAAGAACAGAACAGACATAGAAGGGGAATTTCTTGCTTTTTAAGATGAGGTGACAATCTAGGGGCCATGTTTTTTAAAACCAAGTTTCCAGAAGAGCTCTCTCTGGAATAAAACATGAATGAGATGTATGTGTATACTGCAGTTTGAGTATATGTATTTAAACTAGCCTCCATCATGATTAAAACAACTACAGATTATAATGAGAAGAAAAAATAACACTGGCTTTCATGCACTGGTGTGGCTGAATGCATCTGTAGTCAGCATGTCCATGATTACGTAGAAAGCTATGACTGAACACAAATGTCCAAATATTATGAAAACAAGCCCAGGCATATATACTCGGCCATACTAAAAAACTGTTTGTCCTCCACTGAACTCAGTCTTTGTCTGTTTATTTTAATTTATTAAAAAAAATTTTTTGAGACAGGATCTCGCTCTGCTGCCTTGGTTGGAGCGAAGTGGCACGATCTTGGCTCACTGCAACCACCGCCTCCTGGGCTCAAGCTATCCTCCTGCCACAGCCTCTTGAGTAGCTGAGACTGCAGGCCCACATCACCATGTCTGGCTAACTTTAAAATTTTTTGTAGAGACAGGGATTCACCATGTTGCCCAGGCTGGTCTTGAACTCCTGGGTTCAAGCAATCTGCCCACCTACAGGCCTCCCAAAGTGCTGGGATTACAGGCATGAGCGACCTGGCCCAGTTTATTTTAATCAAGTGTACAAAGATTGGAGAATCTTTTGTTTCCTTTTTATAACTTTGAAGAATTAACTCTGGGATGACATAGGAAGGGAGTGGTTATAGTTGAACTTGGAAAGCAACGTGCCTGAAATTCATGTGTTACAGTTCTGATTGCAACTTTTCCACTGTCAATGTTATTTAACCATCCCTTTTTTTGGAGACAGGGTCTCACTTTGTTGCCCAAGCAGTGGCAAGATCACAGCTCACTGCAGCCTCCAAATCCATCCCCCCACTGGTCTCCCAAGTAGCTGGGACTCCAAGGGGGCGGGGAGGGGGTCTCAAACTCCTGGACTCAAGCGATCCTCCCGCCTTGGCCTCCCAAAGTGCTGTGGGATTACCTGCTTAAGCCACTGCACCCGGCCTATTTAACCATCTTGAAAGTATTTTACAAGATGCTATTAATATCAACTAACTCCCCACGAATTGAGAGAAAAGATAAAGATGAGCAAATACCAAATACACAAGTAAGAAGCGCAATTAAAAAAAATCAATGAAATCTTCAAAGCCAAAATGTTTTCAGGTACTTTCAGGTACTATTCCCTGTTTCTAGGGACCCTGGGGTCACTCGCTACAGAAGCACTTGGCCTTTACCTTATTTCCTCTTTCTCAGCTGCTTCCATGGCTTCTCTGTCACTCCGATCAGCTCCCAGCTCTCAGGACAAGGGCCCTGGGCGATCTTTTAAAAAAGACGATTGGATGTCTTTCTAAAATTACAACCAGCACTTCACCGTCAAGTTTCTGGAAAGGGAGTTCCCTCCAGAACCTCATGGAGTGACAAATCTTGACTCTTGCTCCTGGAATTTTTCAGGCCCAAACTAGCGTTTCTACAATGATTTATTTGGCAAATATGTCTTGATTATGGGTGGCTGAGGAGGAACATGCTTTTGTTAGGAACCGAAACTGGGCGGCGGTGAGGGCGTGTACGCAGTGAGTCCTAGAGGGTAAAAATCAAGAGCGTGTGAACCGGGAAATGCCGAGACGGCCTCCCCGAATGAGACGAAGCATCTGCAGATCTACCTCAGTGGCGGGGTCACGCCACAGATTTTGAAAACTGACCCTCTCTGTCTCCGTTTTCGGTTAAGAGTGGGAAGTGCCGGCCGGGTCTTTGCTGGAGGTTAGGTCTCCGGCCAGATTCTACTGCAGCATCGTACTCTTCAGGGCTAGAAGGGGCCTTTGAAGGTTGTTACACTACCCAGTCTAGGAATCGCGTGTACTCCACCACCGCCGAATTCCAGTCTTTGCTTAAATACCACCCAAACCAGAGAACTCACTAGTAGACGCCAATTGGGCAGCCAGACTTAGGGCTTTTCCAGACTTTCTGGCCCCAATGTCTGACACTGACTTATAAGGTATGAGGGGCTGGGGCGAGCGGGAGAAGTAAAGAGCCAAATCCTGCACGGGGTGCCTGCCTGGTCCCAAAACCTTTAAGGGCTGGGAGAGAGAAAAGACTCAGGCCGGGTTGGCATGTAGCGATCTCCCTAACCCAGCTGACCAGGTTCCAACAGAGTGACGCTTGCGCAGTAGGTCCAAAGTCTCAAGGCGCAACGATGACTGTCTGAGGGAGGGGCCGCTACGTCGCACAGCAAACAAGCCCCGCGACGGTTCCAGGACCCGGATAATCCCGCCCCCAGAAGAGAGCCGGAAGAAGGCGGGACGAACCGGAAGAGAGTGAAATGCTTTCGGTAGGCAGTCCACGGCTGTGAAGATGGCGGCGGCTGCGTGGCTTCAGGTGTTACCTGTCGTTGTTCTGCTTCTGGGAGCTCAGCCGTCACCACTGTCGCTTTTCAGTGTGGGACCGGCACCCGTAGCTGCTGCCGACCGGTCCAAATGGCACATTCCAATACCGTCGGTGAGTATTCACTAGCGTCTGAACCTACAGGAGCAAGAGGTGGGGCTACGGCGGCCCAAGGGGTCCATGAAGGTTCCGCAAAAGTCTCTTCAAAAGGGGTGGGGTTGCCGGGATGGTCTGTGTGGCTGGCCAACTGGGACCCACCTCCCCCTGAAGGGGAAAGCCGCGCACTGATTAGGCTAGCGGGAATGTCAGGGCCACTTCAGCAACAGACAGGAGTGGTGGAGCGGCTTCTCATCAGAAAAACAGAACTTTCAGTGCCTGACTTGAGATGTAAACTTGATGTACAAACGGAGAGTTGTTTATGTTTCAGATTATGTTTCACAGAATCCAGTGCCCCCGGGTTGGATAAGAAAGATATGTAAATAGAGTCTTCATTTCTTTCTTTCTTTTTTTTCCTCTGCACTTCTTGGTCCCTGAGTAATCCTGCTTACGAGATGGTTCGACTTCGCTTCAACTTTGAAATGGCTATTCTAAGCTTTACTGTGTAACTAGAAAGCATAGAGATTTTTAAAATGTGTTTTAACATGAGAGTGGTTAAAATGGAAGAAATAGTACTTAAAATTTAATGTGGTAAGGCTAATCTTTCATTTGGATAATTGACTACGTGGGTTGACCCTTTCTGCCCCTTACCCATTTTAAACCTTATTTCAGTAACAGGTATAGTCCTGTGAGCAGACAAAAACCAGATGCAGGGAGGAAGTGCTGAAAAGCATTAGCCCCGTTAAACCTATGTTGGCCTTTTTGTTTCATTCTGCACTGCTCACTGATTGTAATGTCCAAATCTTATTTGGACTTTTGTATATGGCAAACATACCTTTTGTTCAATGGTGAAGATTTTCAGGTGTTCAGTGAGGTGTTTGCTTGTTACTAAAGTGGTTAATACTTAAGTTTTTAGATTTGAAAATAAAACTCTGGTTATCTGCACACAGAATAGTTCATTTGAAAAAATGATTGGTTATTCTGAGCAGTGATTGGTGAGTAAAGGGAATGAACTGATTAAGGGGTACATTCCATAAAGATTTTAAGTTAAGTTGGAATTTCTAGCAGCCTTAGATAGTTATATGATGCTTTGGTAATTGAAGCCATCTGAGGCTAATTTTCTTTGCTTTATCTTTTCAGGGGAAAAATTATTTTAGTTTTGGAAAGATCCTCTTCAGAAATACCACTATCTTCCTGAAGTGTGAGTTTTTGAATTCCATGAAGTTTTAATTTGAATTTAAAAAATTCATAGGTAATGTTTTAAATTACCTATTTTTAAAGTTCTGAAATCTAATAGTCTGGCATTATCTAGGTATAAATATTTTTAGGATTACTAAGGTCCTTTCACTGAATCATCTTCAAAGTACTTGTGTGAACTTTATTTTCTTCTTTTGTTTTTTTGGCGTTTACATTGCGTGTATACACTATGTATACATTATATATTAACATATAGTGTATATATTAATATATGTGCTATATATACTACGTTGAATATTCAGTCACATCTCAGTCGAATTACATTTACAGTTGATATGTTCTGAGATGTTCTGAGAAAAGCATTCTTAGGTGATTTTGTCATTATGCAAACATCATGGAGTATATTTAAAACTGGATGGCATACTTAAAACTGGATGGCACTACACGCCTAGTCTGTATGGAACAGCCTATTGCTCCTAGGCTATGAGCCTGTATAACATGTTATTGTCTGAATACTATAGGTGGTTGTGACACAATGGTAAGTTTTTGTATATCTCAACATAGGAAAGTAGAGTACAAATACGATATTACAGTGGGACCCCCTTTGTATATGTAGTCTTTCATTTACTGAAATGTTACGTAGTGCATGACTGTGATTATATTGGGGTTGATTCCCTGCATGGTTGTTTTAATCTGTTTTGTGTAGATTAAAGAGGTTTTTACTCTTGTGTGCTTGTTAAATGTTTACTGAAAACATGACCTAGGTTTGTCAGGCCATTGGCTGTGAAGGAATATATTAAGTAGATCTTTTATTTACAAAAGGAGTATTTTACTGCCTTGGAAGAGGAAGCTCAGATATGATCAAGAAATAGGGACAATGTAGAACAAAACTAGTTTGTCTAGTGGAAAAATGACTGTGTCTGAATCTAAAGTATCCCATTGTGTGTTAAATAAAGGTTCCTTTTAGTTCTGAAACTGGCTTTAATTTAGCGAATAATTGATTGTGGGCAGCTTTATTTCTAGATGAGGGATAAAAATCCTGATGATAGATGTGTGATTCTATGCATACTGTCTTCACGGAAGTGCAAAATTGTAAGTCATAGTTGGATGATTTTATTCTTTTCAATTGTTTAATAAGTAACTATTACTTATTGCATAGACTGCGGGGAAGTAATAGAAAAATGTTCTTCCCTCATCGAGCTTACATTCTAGTGGGAGTGAAAGCAGCAGGTAGAATTTCTCTGAAGAGTATATGCTATGTCCATGAATATATAATCAGTCTCCTGACCAATGACTTACATTTGATTTAGATCAAATCTACTCTGACACTGGCCTTGTGAGATTGGTTTACTAGGTAACCTAATAACCCTTGTCTTTTGGAATAGTCTGACAGCCTGTTTGCTGTTCTATTCTTTTATTAGGTCCAGTCTTTTTTTCACTTGTAGTTTGATCTAGTGGTGTTTTGCCAAGTTAAACCAACTGCATTTTTTTTTTTTTTTTTTTAAGATAGTGTCTCGCTCTGTCACCCAGACTGGAGTGCAGTGGCGTGATCTTGGCTCACTGCAACCTCTGCCTGCCAGGTTCAAGTGATTCTCCTGCCTCGGCCTCCCGAGTAACTGGGATTACAGGCATGAGTCTCTATGCCTGGCCCCAACTACATATTTTGAAGTGTTTATATTTCATTGTTTTTGGAGGATTTGAGGCACTTTGTTTTTTGTTGTTGTTTTTTGAGACGGAGTTTCACTGTGACGCCCAGGATGGAATGCAATGGCGCGATCTCTTCCCACTGTAACCTCTGCTTCCCGGGTTCAAGCGATTCTCCTGCCCCAGCCTCCCGAGTACCTGGGACTAGAGGCGTGTACCCCCATGCTGGCTAATTTTTATATTTTTAATAGAGATGGGGTTTCACCATATTGGCCAGGCTGGTCTCGAACTCGTGACCTCAAGTTATCTGCCTGCCTTGGCCTCCCAAAGTTCTGGGATTACAGGTATGAGCTACCATGCCCGGCCTGAGACACTTTAACATTTACATTATCTTTTTCTTAGTTATTCCTGTGCTTTCTCATATTTACCAGTTGTCTTTGATTTTGTACTTTTTGGGGAATGGTATATAGCTTTCCATGGAATAGCTGGAACCATTTTTATTGTCTCTTAAAACCTTTCATTTAAGGTTCTGAATGTTGTCTTTTAACATAAACAGCTGTATTTTTGCTGCCAAATTTCCTTACAAGTCTCCTGTTTGGGGGATGTGTTCTTAGTGGCTTTTTACTAGTTAATTTTATCTCTGTATGGATTCTTTTGAATAGTTCATAGCCTGATTGCTTTTTACCATTTCCATAAATTCTATCCAACGGGTTAGATTTTTGAACATTCTAGTAGAGTCCTTTGAAAATGTGTTGGTCATTTAAAAATTAGTTTGAGAAAACAGTTTAAAAGAAAGAAAAAAAGGAAGCTTATAATTAGGTTACATCTTTTATTATGAACCAAAAGTAGATTCCTAAATGCAGTCATGTTTATTTTTGTCACATTTGTATAAAGTAGGGAGTCTTAAGTGTATTTTTCCTTTCACAGCTAGAATCAGAGATAAAAGCGAATACTGACTTCCTCTAGCTAATCAGTCATATAGTCAGATTTACCCTCCCAAGTCTTCAGAATAATGTTTTGATTCATTAGAATACTGTGTTTCAAACTGTGTTTAATGAGTTTTATGAGGCTTCCATGATAACGTGAGCTTCCTTGAGGCCTCTTTTAAGGTAGGCTTTGAAAAAAAAATCTGATACGCTTATCTTTGCTTTTGCTATTTCTACCTTCCACAGCCATGTTTGCTTTTCGTTCATTGCTCTTTCTGTTCTATCTTGATATCTTTCAAGGTCCAAGATATGAATTATGCTCTCAGTGGAACTATTATCCACTATTATGTATATCATCATTTAACACCATTTAACAGTTACGAATATTGCCCTGTGACATACATTCCTAATTTTGTTATTCCTTGTCTCAACTAGCCTTTTGAAGGGTCTTAATAATTTGTTTCCACTCATTTCCCTTTTTGGCCTAACAGTGTGCCATATTTATTTATTTATGTTTTTCGAGACAGAGTCTCGCTCTGTCGCCCAGGCTAGAGTGCAGTGGTACCATCATGGCTCACTGCAGACTGGACTTCCTGGGCTCAAGTGATCCTCCTGCCTCCCTCACCTTAGTAGCTGGGACTACAAGCAAGTACCACCACGCCTAGCTTTTTAAACATTTTTTGTAGAGATGAGTTCTCACTATGTTGCCTAAGGTGGTCTTGAACTCCTGGGCTCAAGTGATCCCCCTGCCTTGGCCTCCCAAACTTCTGGGGTTATAGGTGTGAGCTACTGCACCTAGCTCGCTCAATAAATACTTAAATAATAGAAGACTGGCTTTAATTTAGGACTGCTTTATCACTCCCAGGTTTTTCCCAATAGAGATCCAGAAGTTAGGACTTTATGGCATAAAAATAGATCCACAGTTTCAAGAGGTTAAAAACTGCCTACCTGCTATTTTTCTATGAACAACAATACTTTTATCTTAATATCCAGCTTTTTTTGCTGTATTATTTTAATACCTTATGTTTGGAGAAAGGATAGTCTTTGAGTATCTCAGTTTAGGGTAGGAAATAAATAGGATGCAGGTTAACAGTTTAGGAAAAATGCTTTTTTGGGGAATTATCTTTTGTTAACAAAGATTTATTCTTTTATAGTTGATGGAGAACCTTGTGACCTGTCTTTGAATATAACCTGGTATCTGAAAAGTGCTGATTGTTACAATGAAATCTACAACTTCAAGGTAACGAACATAAAATTATAGACTTTTCTTGGACCTTAGTGATTATCTGGTTCCAGTCTCTTGATTTCATGGAGGAAAGAGTATCATGTAGCTATGGAGGAGGAGAGCTGAAACTAGAACACATGCTTCCCAATTTGCAGACCATCAATTCTCAAACTTTTTAGTTTCAGAACTTTTATATTTGTAAAAATTATTGCAGACTCCAGAAAGCCTTTATGCTATTAGAAATTACAACAGAAAATATAGAAATATTTATTAATTTTAAAGTAGCAATAATAAACTTATTACATGTTAATATAAATAACTGTTTTTCCAAGAAAACTACATAAAAGAGTACGATTGTTTCGTATTTTTTTAAATTTGTTTACTATCTGGCATAACAAGATCACTGAATTCTTATATTCCCTTCTTCACTCAGCCTGTTGCAATAATTTGATTTAAGTACATGTAGAAAATAATGACCTCATACAGATATATAGTTGGGAAAAGGAATGGTATTTTAATGGCCTTTTCAGATAACTGAGGATATTCTTTTCTGATTCTGTATGAAAACTCAAGTGGAAGTTTTTAAAGGTTAGTTGCAATATGGAATCTGAAATATTAGTGAACTTTTTTTGTACTCTGATAAAAAAATCCACTGCTATGAATGTATCTTTCACCTGTGTGTGATCTTGTAGCATCATTTATTGGTCATTTAGAAAATAGTAGTTGACTGAATTATATACATTTTCTAAATATTAACTCATTTCACATTTAGCTAAAACTTACATTGTTTGTAACTATCCCCTGCCCTCTTCATCTCATCAGTAGGTTCTTAAGTTTTGGAAGGAGTTAAATTCAGTGTAGCAGATACAAGTTCTTCACAATTCCAGTTTTTGCTTGAAATCTCAAATTTTATTTGGCAGTGAATACTGTCAGTTGTCTTCCTTGAGGTGACAGCCTCCATTTCCTATTTCCAGAGAAATATCTCTCAAATAACCACATCTGAGTAATGGTAGTTTTTCAGTCATTCTTTCAAGTAAATGTGTTTCATGAAAAAAATGATTAGTTTAACTCACAAGTCAAAGCAGTTGCAGAGTGCTTTATCTCAGGACAATAATTTATTGTATTTTGCATACTTCCATTTTGTCACCTAGATTGTTTAAAAAGTCAGGTACTCAAAATGTTCAGATTTAATAACATTAATAATTTTTACTGTTTTATCAAGGATATTCTTACATAAAACTGGCATTTTTAAGAACTGCCAGTTTGTGACTCTGAAGAATATGATTGCTAGTACAATTAAGTGCCATTGCCTTAGTTCCTGATAAGGGGCAGCAGTTTTCCCCACTGTTGCTTTCGTAATATCATTGCGAGTCAAATAGCATACTATTTTTTTTTTTTTTTTTTTTGAGACGAAGTCTCACTCTGTCGCCCAGGCGTGATCTCGACTCACCACAATCTCTGCCTCCCGGTTTAAGTGATTCTCTGGCCTCAGCCTCCCGAGTAGCTGGGATTACAGGTGTCTGCCACCACACCTGGCTAATTTTTGTATTTTTAGTAAAGATGTTGGCCAGGCTGGTCTTGAACTCCTGACCTCAGGTGAACCACCTGCCTCAGCCTCCCAAAGTGCTGGGATTATAGGTGTGAACCACCATGCCTGGCCATGAAAATAGTTTTGACCACCTAGACTTTGTGAAAGGGTTCAGCGACCACACTTTTGAGAATTGCCATAATCCGGAATACTTGAGCACTGAAAATATATTGCTCAAAGAACAAAGCTGGAAGCATCACATTACCTGACTTCAAACTATGCTACAGGGCTACAGTAACCAAAACAGACACAAAGACCAGGGAAACAGAAAAGAGAGCCCAGAAATAAGGCCGCACACCTACAACCATCTGACATTTAACAAAGCTGACAAAAACAAGCAATGGGGAAAGGACTCCCTATTTAGTAAATAGTGTTGCATTAGCGTGCTGGCCATATGCAGAAGACTGAAACTGGAGCCCTTGCTCACACCATATTCAAAAATCAACTCAAGATAGATTAAAAACTTAAATGTAAAAGCAAAACTATAAAAACCCTGGAAGACAACCTAGGGAATACCATTCTGGACATGGTAAGTGGCAAAGATTTCATGATGATGCCAAAAGCAATTGCAACAAAAGCAAAAATTGACAAATGGGATTTAATTAAACTTAAGAGCCTCTGCACAGCAAAAGAAACTATCAACAAAGTAAACAGACAACCTACAGAATGGGAAAAAATATTTACAAACTATGCATCCAACAAAGATTTAATATCCAGCCTCTATAAGGAAGTTAAACAAATTTATATGCAAAAAACAACCCCATAGAAAAGCAGGTAAAGGACATGAACAGACACTTCAAAAGAAGACATACATACAGCTAACAAGCATATGAAAAAAACAGCTCTGTATCACTGATTATTAGAGAAATGCAAATCAAAATCACAATGAGATACCATCTCACATCAGAATGGCTATTATTAAAAAGTCGAAGGATAATATATGCTGGCAAGGTTGTGGAGGAAAAGGAATGCATATACATTGTTAGTGGGAGTGTAAATTAGTTCAGCCACTGTGGAAAGCAGTGTGGCAGTTCCTCAAAGAGATAAAAACAGAATTACCATTTGACCCAGCAGTCCCATTACTGGGTATATATACAAAGTAATAGAAATCATTCTGCCGTAAAGACACATGCACACGTATGTTCACTGCAGCACTATTCACGATAGCAAAGACATGGAATCAACCTAAATGCTCATCAGTGGTAAACTGGATAAATAAAATGTGGTACATATGCAGCCATAAAAAAGAATGCAGTACATATGCAGCCATAAACAAGAATGAGAGATCATTTCCTTTGTGAGAACACAGAAGGAGCTGGAGGCCATTATCCTTAGCAACCTAACACAGGAACAGAAAGCGAAATATCACGTTTTCACTTATAAGATGGAGCTGAATGATGAGAACACATGGTCACAAAGAGGGGAATGACAGATACTGGGCCTACTTCAGGGTGGAGGGAGAGGATCAGAAAAAATAACTCTTGAGTACTAGGCGGTACCTGGGTGATGAAATAATCTGTGAAACAATCCCCTGTGAGTTGAGATTACCTGTGTAACAAAGTTGCATGTGTCTACCTGAACCTAAAGTAAAAATTTTTTAAAAAGTATATATATAGAGTTCTGAGTTGAATTGTTCAGACCTTTTCCATTCTGTTTCTATCTCCCTATTTGCATTTTTTAAAAAAGATTGTCCTCCTTTTGTGCTTGCAGCAATTTTGTGCTCTATCTTAGTTTATGAGCATGAATATCTTTTTGTTGATGTTGTTAATTTGGTCAAGTAAACTCTTTTAAGTATATTTTAATGTGACAAAACCCTCTACACTTTGGCAGTTTCCCAGTCTACTCAGAGTTGTTAGTAGAAGTATGCCTTGTGAGCCAAGACTAGAATTATGCCCTTGAGTCTAATAGTGTTCGATTCTTAGATACTTTTATATGGAGCCTTTATCTGATGCTGTTCATTTTTAAAATAGCAAACTCAAAATTATATTTGTACTACAGGTGAACTATTTGTTGTGCTCTTAGTATCTTATTTTTTGAAAGGTGAATTAACTACTCTGTATTATCTCTTTTTTCAGGCAGAAGAAGTAGAGATGTATTTGGAAAAACTTAAGGAAAAAAGAGGCTTGTCTGGGAGATATCAAACGTCATCAAAATTGTTCCAAAACTGCAGTGAACTCTTTAAAACACAGGTAATCTTTGCAAGTGGTTGGAGGTAAATAGAATAGGTAAAAAATAGAATGTCTGTATTTTTGGCTGTATCCTCTCCCACTGCTCAAGTATTTCTTTTGGTAGAAGTAAGTGGAAGCATGTTCTGATAGGTACATAGTAAGCCACTTACATACCCAACTCATCAAAAAGAGATTGTATTTTCCTTTGTGTGTAAAAAGCAAACCCCCATTTTTTTTAATGTGGTAAAATATACACTACATAAAATTTACCATTTTAACCATTTATAAGTGTATAATATGGTGGCATTAAGTATATTCACATTGCTGTGCAGCCATCAACCCATCTCCATATCTCCAGTCCTTTTTTTTTTTTCTAAGGCAGAGTCTCGCTCTGTCCCCCAGGCTGGAGTGCAGTGGCGCAATCTTGGCTCACTGCAGTCTCCACCTCCGTCCGGGGTCCAAGCAATTCTTTCGCCTCAGCCTCCCAAGTGGCTAGGGCTATAGGTTCACACCATTACACCTGGCTAATTCTTTTTGTATTTTCAGTAGAGACAGGATTTCACCATGTTAGCCAGGCTGGTCTTGAACTCTTGACCTCAAGTGATCTACCCACCTTAGCCTCCTGAAATGCTGGGATTACAGTTGTGAGCCACTGGGCTGAGCCCCATGTCTAGTATTTTTATCATCCCAAACTAAAACAGCACACCTATTAAACAAAAATTCCCCACCCTCCAACCCCAAGTCCACAGTAACCACTCTTCTACTTTCCATGAATTTGACTATTCTAGATACCTCATATAAATAGAATCATACAACTTTTGTTGTTTTTTTTTTGTCTGACTTCTTTCACTTAGCATAATGTTTTTAAGGTTCATCCATGTTGTAGCATTATCAGAATTTCATTCCTTTTTAAGGCTAAATGATGATTTATGGTATGTATGTACCACATTTTGTTTTTCCATTCATCTGTTGATAGACATTTAAAACCTCACATTTTTAATTCTCTGGTCTCCTCATCTCGTTAATATGTTCCTAGAAGAATCAGGTCTTTAAAATTTTACTGCTATAGATCTGAAATCAGAAGGGTATCATCTTCTTAGAGTTCAATTTCACACCTTAATTTTGTAGAAAGAGGGAGATGTGAATAATCATATATTTTTCACGCTTACATATATGTAATGTAAGTGGGATTCTGATATGAAATTTTGTCTTAGAAATAGTAATCTAATACCAATTTTTTTGATAGAAAAGTTTTATATGTGTTAAAAATAGTTGTAGTAATTATCATCTATACTTGTCCTTACTATATTTAAAAATCGTTTTGGAATATTTAGCAGCTTGCCTTGAACTGTTAAATTACTGGAAGTAAAGTTTATTATTAAGAAGACAAATTTAATCATTGAATTGTAATTGAGCCTGGACACGGTGGCTCAGGCCTGTAATCCCATCACTTTGAGAGGCTGAGGTGGGCGGATCACCTGAGGTCAGGAGTTCAAGACCAACCTGGCCAACATGGTGAAACCCTGTCTCTACTAAAAATACAAAAAAAATTATCCGGGCGTGTAATCCCAGCTACTCGGGAGGCTGAGGTGGGAGAATCACTTGAACCCAGAAGGCTGAGATCGTGTCACTGCACTCCAGCCTGGGCAACAAGAGTGAAACTTGGTCTCAAAAAAAAAAAAATTTGATAGTTGATGAGCAGATGAAGTAATTGGTACTTGAAGGAAGAGTTCAGCTTTTATTATAACTTAGGTTTTATGATCTTGAAGGGAGAAGAAAATAGCTTTAAGATGGTGAAAGAATGGTAGAGAAAGCTAGAAACAATGTGATGTTGTGTAGTTTGTATGTTTTCTGTTGGTTTTCCAAATTTATCCCTTAGACTAGGAGGATTGGTTGGTCTTTCCTGGATTTGATTATGGAAAGCTACCTGTTGCCTCTGGTTGCCTGAGGCTGACTACTTTCAGATGTGCTATAATCTTTCCAGGGTCTTGGCTTATTGGTAAGGTTTCCTCTCCTCCTCCAGTCTAATGTAACAGGTTGAATTACACAGTCTCATTACTCAGAAAGGAGAATGCCTCATCTACCGATAATTGGTAAGAAAGATAATTAGTGTAGTTTTTTTACAGGCATGAAATGTAGTGCGGTGGAAGGGACAGCAGACCTAAGTGTCAAGAATATTAGGTTTAGGCCGGGCGCGGTGGTTCACGCCTGTAATCCCAGCACTTTGGGAGGCTGAGGCAGGTGGATCACAAAGTCAAGAGATCGAGACCATCCTGGCTAACATGGTGAAACCCCGGCTCTACTAAAAATACAAAAAAATTAGCTGGGCGTGGTAGCAGGCACCTGTAGTCCCAGCTACTTGGGAGGCTGAGGCAGGAGAATGGCGTGAACCTGGGAGGCGGAGCTTGCAGTGAGCCAAGATCGTACCACTGCACTCCAGCCTGAGCGACAGAGCAAGACTCCGTCTCAAAAAAAAAAAAAAAGAATATTAGGTTTAAATCCTATTTCTTTGTCTAAAGCTTTGTAGTTTTGAGCCACATTTTACTCACCTGTAAAATGAGGGGAAGTGATCTAAGATTCTGTCCTAAGTATACATCCTATATCTAAGACTTTGTCATTCTTAAATGTTTATTATTCTCATAGAAAAATTGAATGGCCGTTTTGGTTTGATACTATTTTCTAGTTCCCAGCAGGGTTTTATTCACTTGTTTGTGGTTAATTGGAAATGTTTTGTCTACTGATGCTGTGTTATTATATTTACTAGTTAGGGTGTGGTGTTTTGTTTTAACCATTTCTTTGTATTTTCAGCTACACTTTTCTAGTATTTACACACCTTTAATTTTTTTAGTTTTGTGTTTCTTTTATAGAGCTTTTCTGGAGATTTTATGCATCGACTGCCTCTTTTAGGAGAAAAACAGGAGGTAATTGTTTTCATTATATATTTCTGAGAGTGCAGTAAAAACTTTGGTGGTGCAGGAGACACCCATGCTCGCTACATCTCCAGGGAGGGAGTGCTGCACCTGGGGAGCAGGCTCAGACAGAGGCTACAGGAACTTGGGCAGCTAAAAACAAGAAGTTCTGAATTAATTATTATTATTTTTTAATATTTAAAGGCTAAGGAGAATGGAACAAATCTTACCTTTATTGGAGACAAAACTGTAAGTATATTTGGGGATTTGGGGCATTGAACACATATTTTAGTTTTCTTATGTTCATATATTTTTGAATTGTTCTCGCATATGATGCTAACATTTGAAAAGAAAGTTAAGTCTGGAAGCTATAGACCAAAATCTTAAAAATGATTGGATCTCTGGATGATAACCATGAGTGATTTTTAGTTTCTTCTTTGTGTTTTCTGTATATTTTCTCCTGTATACCTGTATTGCTTTTATAATTATCTCTCAATACATATCTGTAAACAGGAAGAAACTTATTAAAAATAAGAACTCTTAAACTTCATCTAAAATTATCTGTGATAAAATATAATTGAAAGAGAGTTTGGAAAATTGAAATAAGGTCTAAAACTGTAAATATGCCTTAAGTTTTCATAAATATGCATTGTATGGATACTATTTTCAAATTCGTAATAACTAATCCCTCAAAACATCACCAGTTAAAAATTTAGAGGAAGGATGACAGCTATCAATGTTGGATTATGGTTTTTATAAGGCTGATTAAAGTTTTTAATTTTATAACCTTATGAAGGTATAGTATACATATGACAGAAGTTATGTTTTGTTTTGTTTTTTGAGACAAGCTCTCACTCTTGCCCATGCTGAAGAACAGTGGTGTGAACATGGCTCCCCGCTGCCTTGACCTCCTGGGCTCAAGTGATCCTCCTGCCTCAGACTCCCAAGTAACTGGGACCACAGGCACATACCACCATGCCTGGCTAATTTAAAAAAATTTTTTGTAGAGATTGGGTCTCACCATGTTTCCCAGGCTGGTATGGAACTCCTAGGCTCAAGTAATCATCTCACTTCAGCCTCCCAAAGTGCTGGGATTATAGGTGTGAGCCACTGCGCCCAGCCTGAAAGTTATTGTTAAAGTTATTATATTAAAGCATATAATTTAGTGGTTTTTAGTATTCTCAAGTTGTGTAAGCACCACTCAAAGTCTAGTTCCAGAATTGTTCATCGTCCCCAAAAGTAGCCCCATACTCATTATCAGTCACTCCCCATTTTTCCTGCCCCCAGCCTCTGACAATCGGTAATCTATTTTCTGTCTCTGTATTTGCCTTTTCTGGACATTTTATATAACTGAAATCATATAATACGTGGCCTTGTGTCTGGCCTCTTTCACAGTTTCCACTTTGTCTTAACTTTTACTTCCTGCTTGCACAGAGCCTTAAGATCAGCCAGCAAGTGATTAGGGCCTTCTCAGGTCTCTCCTGGACCTGTGCACAGCCCTGGGCATATGGCCTTCTAGATTTCCAGGAATATTTTGGAACTTTCCAAAGTCCCTGTGGACGTCCCATTCTTCAGTTTTTCCTTTTAAGTTTCCGATCAGCCTCTTAGTAGCCACGGTTGGTAATGTCACCTCAGGCAGCTGTGATCTTGAAGGATTGCTATTCAGTGTGTTTGGCAAATGCTTTGAGTTCAGGGCTGTTGACACTAGGTGATCTCTGAGTCAGGTCAGATAAAGACAAGCCCTGAGAATGGAGCTTTTCAGCAATTTGCCAGACAGCTCAGGTGATCAGTCTTTTAGGGACCTCCAAATTTGTTTTTTCCTTTGGGAGGCCTACGTGAGCAGATCACTTGAGGCCAGGAGTTTGACACCAGCCTGGCCAACATGGTGAAACTTGTCTCTGCCAAAATACAAAAATTAGGCAGGCATGGTGGTGCACACCTGTAATCCCAGCTACTTGGGAGGCTGAAGCAGGAGAATCACTTGAACCCAGAAAGTGGAGGCTGCAGTGAGCTGAGATCACACCACTGCACTCCAACCTAGGCAACAGAGTGAAACTCTGTGTTCCCTTCCCCTGTCCCCTTTGCCCAGTGGCTGCTAAGCTGTTGTTTTTCTCAGCTGTTAACGGTTTCAGCGACTTTGGTTTTAAGGAACTTGAGAGAGAGGGATGGGATTAGGGTGAACACAGACATCTCAAGCTTGCTTTTCTTTCCTAGATTCAGTTGCCTTTCTCGAAGAAACATTTCTTGTATTGTTGAAAGACTTTAATTAATTTCCAAAGTTCCAAAAGTTGATTTTGATAGTTTTTGCCAGTGTTTTTGTTGCTTTTACAGATGAGTAGATTTTCAGAGTTTCTTATTCTGCCATTCTGAAAGTATTCTCACTACCCAAACCCCAGTTTTATTTATACAGAATTTTAACTGAAAGTAGGTTAGGCATGACAATCTTTGTTAATTTTTTTAAACAAAAGATAGCCGTTAGGACTGGGTGCAGTGGCTCACGCCTATAATGCCAACACTTTGGGAGGCCAAGGTGGGCAGATCACTTGAGGTTGGGAGTTTGAGACCAGCCTGGCCAATGTGGTGAAACTTTGTCTTTACTAAAAATACAAAAATTAGTTGGTCATGGTGGCAGGCACCTGTAATCCAACCAACTTGGGAGGCTGAGGCAGGAGAATCACTTGAACGTGGGAGGTGGAGGTTGCAGTGAGCTGAGATCACGCTACTGCACTCCAGTCTGGGTGACCAGTGAGATTCCATCTCAAAAAAAAAAAAAAGAAAAAAGATATTCATTGGATTTTCTCTTACTAATAGGCATATATTCACTGTGAAAATGGAGACGAAATGAATGAAAAGAAGAAAGTAGTAATCTATAATACCATGCAGTGATGTATTTATTTTCCTAGTCTTTTGTATATGGGCATGTTGATATTTATTTTAAAAAGGGGATCTTATAGTATGTATTATATGACTTTTTTGTAGTTTAGCAATATAACATGGACATCTCTTCAGTTTGGTAAATATTGTATTACATTGTTACTTAAATGCTTGTGTAGTGTCTTATTGTATGAGTACGTTGCAATTTGTTCAATTCTCTATTCTTGAACGTGTATGAGTTTCATTATCTTGGAATTTTATGCAGTGTTGTGATTAATATTTTAACTACATTTGCTTTTAAGTCTTTATTTTCTGATCTCTGAAGAATTGTATATTGGGATAAGTTTTTAATTCTATAACTTAAAAGTAAAAATCCTTTGTAATTTTATGTTCTAATAGTTTGCGTTTGGTGTGATTACACAGAGCACATGCATATTAACCAAAATAAGATCATATTAGACACCGTTGTATAATTTTTTATTTTTACTACCAAATTGGTACATTGAATACTACTTCACCTTTTCATGGCTGCTTAGTGTTCCATTTTATTATGATTTTAATAATTAACTCCCAATTGATGAATATTTGGGTTGTTCCCAAATTTTCCCTATTATGGATAAGGTCATGTTCATAATGTGTAGCTGTATCTCTGTGTACATTTATAATCTTTAGGCTAAATTCCTGGAGGTAGAATTGCTAGGTCCACATGTATGCACAGTTTAAACCTCTTTTTCGTAGCAATTTATGGCCCCAAGAAAGTGAGAGTGTCTTAGTTTGTTTATGTTGCTATGGAAGGACACCTGGAGCTGGGTCATTTATTTAAAAAAAGAGGTTTATTTGGCTCACTGTTCTGTGGGCTATGAAAGAAGCATGGGGCCGGCATCTGTTTCTAGTGAGGGCTTGAGGCTGCTTCCACTCATGGTGGGAGGTGAAGGGGAGTCTGTGTGTGCAGATCACATGGCAAGGGAGGAAGAAGGAAAGAGGGAGGAGGAGGAGAGGACGTAGTGGACTCTTTTTTAATAATCAAGGAAGCAATAGAGGGAGAAGTCATTACTGAAAGGACAGTGGCACCAAGCCATTCATTAGGGATTGGCTCCGTGACCCAAACACCTCTCTCTAGATTTCACCTCCAACACTGGGGATCAAATTTCAGTACGAAATTTGGGAGGACAGATATCTAAACCATAGCAGTGAGTTTCCATCTTTCCTCACAAAAACAATGGCTGTCATTTAAAATAGATTTTATGCAGTTTGTCTAGTTAAGCAATAATTTGTTGTTGTAAATTATATTTTAAAAATTATTGTTAAGCCAGGCGCTGTGGCTCACGCCTATAACCCCAGCACGTTGGAAGGCCACAGCAGGCGGATCACTTGAGCTCATGAGTTTAAGACCAGCCTGGGCAATGTGGTGAAACCTTGTCTCTACAAAAAATGATGGAAAAATTAGCCAGAAGGTGGCACGTGCGCCTGTAGTCCCAGCTACTTGGGTGACTGATGTGGGAGGATGGCTTGAGCCTGGGAGGCAGAGATTGCAGTGAGCCAAGATCACACCACTTCACTCTAGGCAATAGAGCCATACCTTGTCTCAAAAACAAAAACAACAACAAAAAAATTATTGTTGAAGGTGAACATTCATTTATATGGATATTGGCTCTTGTGCTTTCTTCATTTGTCTTCTGTGCACAGCATACTTTGAGTTCTATTCAAGGCTTCAGTCTTGTTACAGTGATTAAAACTGGCTGAAAGGTGACCCTGTTGAATACCACAAGTAATATTTAGGAATACTTAGTCAAAATATAGTCAAAAGAAATGAAATAATTAACTATCTTTTGATCTTTCTTCCTGAAAATTTGGTCCAAGGCAAATACCTTATAATCCTATTTAAAGGATATTCACAGGCTGGGTTCAATGGTAATATCCGCATTTTTGAGGCCCAAAGTGGGTGGATCACTTAAAGCCAGGGTTTGAGACCAGTCTGGTCAACATGGCAAAACCCTGTCTCTACTAAAAATGCAAAAATTAGCTTGGTGTGGTGGGGTACATCTGTAATCCTAGCTACTTGAGTGCTTGAGGCCTGAGAATCACTTGAACCCAAAAGGCACAGGTTGTAGTGAGCTATGTTTGCACCACTGCACTCCAGCCTGAGTGACAAAATGAGACTCTGTCTCAAAAAAACAAAAAGGATACTCACAAATTCAGTACCTCCATCCTATTTCATTAAAGCTCTGATTAAATATATATGTTTATGGGCCGGGTGTAGTGGCTCACACCTGTGATCCCAGCACTTTGGGAGGCCAAGGTGGGTGGATCACCTGATGTCAGGAGTTCAAGGTCAGCCTGGCCAACGTGGTGAAACCGCATCTCTACTAAAAATA